CGCAGCTGAGGGGATCCGTGGGATCTCGCCGCGGCGTCTCAAGTTCGGTGCGGCTCTGATTAGCCGCGTTTCAGCCGTCCTGTGTGGCAGCAGCCTCTGTTTGCACCACAAGCAGAAGCTCTCTGCACCTTATTGGGTGACAGCAAGGCATGGCTACTGTCATGCGCTGTGTCTGGGGCTGCCACTGAAGACTTCTTGCCAACTAGGAGAGATAGAAAGGAGGATCTACATGAGCACCACACAGTTTGATTCCAGATACTCGTTTGGTCTTTGGAACACTAAATAATTTGTACCTGATAGATAGGGTTGCCAACTCCGAGTTCAAAAATACCTGGGGATTTGAAGATGGAACCTGGGAGGGTGGAGTTGATGGAGGGGAGGGACCTTAGTAGGGTACAATGCCATATGGTCTACCTTCCAAAGCAGCCATTTTTTCCCGGGAGAAGTAGAATAAATATTTTAAATAAATACTAAGTAAGTTAAATATTTTAAATAAATACTAAATAAGTGATCTATGGATCAGTTGCAATTCCAGGAGATCTCCAACCACCACCTGGAGGGTGATAACCCTACTGATAAAACAAAGTTAGAGTCTGTGAGCTTTCATGTGCACGCACATTTCGTCAGACGTTGAAATGGGATTACATATCGTAGTTGTGTATATAGGGGTGGCTTGTTAAATTAGCATGCAAGATAGTGAAGATGGTTTTTTTTAACAGATCAAAAGAATGACAAGCCCGGTTTCTGGTTATCATTGTGAGAATTATGAGAATCCTGTCCAATTTAGGGCACATCAGTCTCCAGTTCTGACATATTTATTACCTATGTTGTTTTTCCCCCCAGTTGAACCCAAACAGATGATAACCAGATTCCAGAAACCGAGCTTGTCATTCTTTTGATATTTTGCATGGTAATTTAACAAGCCACCCCTATATATACAACTACAATATGTAATTCTGTTTCATCATCCGACGAAGTGTGCCTGCACACGAAAGCTCATACCTTGAATAAAACTTTGTTGGCCTTAAAGGTGCCCCACTGGACTCTAACTCTAACAAGCTGCCCACCTTGATCAACCCTAGTGATAGATATTCTCCACCCAGCACATTCACTAAAAGTGGCTACCAAAGAGAAGACCACAGGGATACACCTTCATGGCTGTTTTCTCTTCTTTTGTGCATCCCCTCCCCTTGGCAATGTGTGCTTTCTTCTTGAAAAATCTTTCTGTATCCCATTTTGTGTCTCTATTCATTTTCTTCTCTCCCCCCCCCCAGATTTGTCTCCACTTTCACCTGCCAGCTGAGCTGCCCCTTTTTTCCTCAGCACATGGGTTTTTCAGCACCTCATGGGGCCCATTTACAATATGCCCCAGAGAACTTTCTCTTCTAGAGTCACTGCCCTAAGTCTCCCCGCTCCCCCATTTCTCCATTCTTCACATTAGCTCTATAAACTTGGCCGGCATTTCATCTGCCCTGCCCACAAATAAAAGAGTGGAAGGAAGTACTAGACTACAGCTGATTCTACAGCCAAAACAAATTTGTCTAACAGTCTGTAGATATCGAGGCGAGTTGCCGTTATGGGACACAAAAAGGAAGATTAGAAATCATCTGAATAGCTTACTTGGATTGCCAGTTGCTGGAATCGATCTGAAGACTCTCAAGGTACTTAGCCTACCAAGCCAGGTGCAGAGAGTTCTCATCACATTCTTAAGTGCGAGGATTCCCTCGTTAATAATGAGGCAAAACAGACTTTTCAAGAATAAAGGTGTATTTCCAGCTCGAGTTTTTTCAAATATTTCGAAACCTATCCCCCTCCTTCGCAAGAACCATAAAAAGACTGGTGCTAATTATGACTTGAGTGCCTCCCAGCCTGATCTAACACTTCCTGCTTGTCAGGGGGACGTGGCAGTTAAAGCTCCTAAGAAGCACCCATCCAAAATTGCTGATATGCAGAAGCTGGAAGAGATAAATCTCGACAACTCCCTCGAGGACGATTTATTGAAGTCTTTCCCATCATTCCTCAAAAAAGATCAAGTTGCTATTGTCAACAGGTTGGAAAATCTAAGAGAGCAGCTCCTGAAACTAGGGAGTGAGTCTAAAAAGCAACTGGAGGCCAAAGTGGATGGTAGCAAAGCGAACAACACAAGAAACGTGCAGTTCCCTAACCCTCCAGTATCACAAGTTCTAAGTCCGCCTTCATTTAGCTCCATGCCAGATCTAGAATCCTCGCTAAATTCTTCCAGGACCTCGAGCTTAATGCCGGCTCCGGAGGAGATATCCATAGAGCGACGGGGCTGTGAGGTAGATGTGCTACACAATTGTGAAGAAGGAAAGAATCAGATGGAAGCTCCAACCCTCTCTCGCACTTTGGCGTCATCCCCTGATCCGAACAGCAGGACTGAGTATGACTGGGATTCACGAGTCCTGTTCTCCATTCATTCCAGCCAGGAGGCACAACCCCAAATGGAAAATAAATCTTTGGCCCAAGAATTAATGGATGTAGAAATACTAGAGCGGGAGTCTACACATTCCAAAGATTGGCAGGGGCTCCACGGAAAGGGATTTGCCACTCACATAGAGAGGCCTGGTTCATCAGCGAGGAGAGAGGATCAACTGGTACTCCCTGCGTCCATCAGTGCCCAGGAGTCAGATCTACAGCCCTTGGCTCGAGATCCTAATATCGAATTGTCCCTTAGCCCCCGGGATGGTACAACCTTGGCATGACTGGCTCCAGAACGAAAGTTGTCAAAACCTGTAAGGGGTTTGGGAATAATTTCATGGAACATTGCAGGATGGTTCAAATGGCTATCCAGAAGTCCGATGATTTTTAGCCATCACCATATCCCGGAAGTGCTGGCAGTCCAAGAAACATGGACTGATCTACCCCTGGAATTGGAGGGTTTCATATCTTATAGTATGAAGGCCGCTAAGGGTAGGGAACGGGGGAGGATGAAAGGAGGCTTGGGTATATTAATTTCAACATCTTTAAGGGTTTCCTGTAAGGAACTGCAGCCTCTAGATCAGCTGGCAATGGCAATAGCACTTCATTGGAAGGGAGAGAGTTTGATTATAATAAACAGCTACCTACCCCCATTATATAAAAAAATTGATATCGATAAGAATTGGGCATCCCTAGAGAATTATATACTATCGATAGTTGAATCACACCCTAAAGCGATGATCCTTGTATTGGGAGATCTAAATGCCCGTATGGGTCCAGACGATCCCTCATTAGATGCTAAATATAGGCTATTCTTTAGAGATCATCTGGAGGGTTCGGATAGCCTGCTCCTACCTAGACTATTTAAAGACAGAAAATCCAACTACGCAGGTGCATGCTTGGCGAAGCTAATGTTTAAAACAAATCTCCAAGTTCTAAACGGTTCCACACCAGATGAAAGAGTAATGGGCAAGTAATTGACTAGCTGTACAGGGAAGGCTTTCAAATCGACCTTTCTCCACCAAGCAAAAACAACAACAACAACTCCTGAGCATAGCACTCTGCCCAAAAATACCATTTTCACAGGTTGAAAATAAAGCCAGATTTTGGTTTCTCCCACAAGGTTTTCTTTTTTGGGGGGGGGGCAGAAATTTAGAGAAAATTTAAATATATGCAGTGCCTACTTTCCTACCAAATTTAAACTTCTTTCACAGATTTAACAACACACAATGCATCATTCATAACTTATTGTATAACACGACACTATTCGTCATAGCTTATCGAATTTAGCAGTATAAATATGTTCATATTTTATTTGAAAAACTGCAAATGCATGCAGCCACCTGCTGTACCCTGAGCTATCATAGCATATGTATCTTTAATTTTTGTCCTGAGAGGTTCTAAGGAAATAAAACTTGAAGGTAGAAAACAAGTACTGTGGTAAACAAAAGAAAATATATGGCTTAGACAGAAACTCTTCCATGGAGTCACATCAGGTACGACTACCAGCATCTTTGGATTCTAAGCTAAACTTTTGTAACACTGAAAATAGTGCATTCTTTGATAATGCAATATCATGAGACACGTTCTAGCATATTAATGGTGGCCAGAATTATTTACAATTTTAGAAGATTGTATGTATCTACAATATAAGAAGTTTCAGAAGTATGTATCTACAATATAAGAAGTATCTACAATATAAGAAGTATCAGACATTTCAATGCTGCCCATAAGGACTGAATAAAAAGCTTTGAGAGACAAGTGACAATGTTTTATAAGAGGGTTTTTTTCCAGTGCTCCTCAAAATTCCAAATGGGAAAATGGGAAAACTCAGAAGTTCTCACTGTGTATGTTTTGAGTGCGAAAAACTTTGCCTTAAGAAGCATTTCACTTGTTCTAAAAGAAAGAAATATCTCAGAAGCTGGTCCCCCCCTCCCCGTGCTTCACAAATTCCCAGTTTTCCATTGAAAACTTTTTTTGGGGGGGGGAATGGAAAGGGAGGTTCTTTATTAATGTTTCATTTTTTTCTTTGCATCATTAGGTGTGACCACTAGGATGTGATTTTCATTGTGTGACATGATAGTCAAAGAGCACACAAACCTCGTGATGTGTTTTTTTTAAAGAGAGTTAATATGGTGCAGACATTAACATGTCAGACTAAGAGCTGGGAGACACAGGTTCGAATCCTGCTCTTCCATAGAAACTGGATGGGTGACCTTGGGCTATTCACTGTCTCTCAGCCTAATCCTCTCACTGGGGTATAGTGAAGATAAAACAGAGGAGAGGAGAATGATGTAGGCCGCTTTGGGTCCCCATCGACAAGAAGCGTGGGTATAAATAAAGTAAATAAATAAACCCCTCCAGATATTTCTCCATTACAATCACCTAGTATGGGTTTTGTTGTCTTCTTACGAAAGAATGTCTTCAATGGATCATTTTTCTCTTGCACAGCTAAATCCAGACTGACAAAAGAAAGAGTTGTTAGAAGTGTACTTGGCACTGAGTTAACCGTCACCCTTTCTTTTCTTTTTTTCTCTGATCAGCAAGTAAGGAGAAACACCATGAGTTCAGGTCCCTCAACAGAAGACATAGGGGAGCAATTGGAAAAACTGAAGACAGATTTCGAGAAGGAGAATAATGATCTCTCTAAACTGATAGAACAGACTGTTCAGAAGCTGAATTCATTAACAAATGAAAAACTTGACATCGCCATCACAGGGCCGACGGGTGCCGGCAAATCATCACTTGTCAACGCCCTTCGTGGAAAGAAAGATGATGAAGAAGGTGCAGCTGAGACTGGGGTAATGCAAACCATGGAGAGAAAGCAATATCCACATCCCACATTCCCAAAAGTAACACTATGGGATCTTCCAGGAGTTGGGACATATGAAACACAGGAATACCTGCAGAAGGTACATTTTACGGAGTATGACTTTTTCATCATCGTTGCCTCTGTTCGCTTCAGAGAGAATGAAATTCTGCTGGCCCAAGAAATTCACAAAATGAATAAGAAATTTTACTACGTGCGCACTAAACTGGATGTCGATATAGAGTCTGAAAGAAGGCAACAAAACTTCAGTGAGGAAAAAACCCTTGAGAAGATAAGGAAATATTGCCGTGATAATTTGGCCGAGGCAGGGGAATCTCATCCAAGAGTTTTTCTTGTCTCTAGTCGTTATTGGAGAAGGTATGATTTCCAGCTGCTACTAGAGGTCATGGGAAATGAACTGGATGAACTCAAGAGATATGCGTTAATCACAGCATTGTCAAATTCCTCAAAAGGAATCCTGAAAAAGAAGAAGGCTGCTATGGAGGCCCTTGTAAGGAAAGTAGCCCATGTATCTTCTATTATGGGGGCCAGTCCAGTCCCAGGTCTTTCTCTTGTTTGCAATATTCCCTACTTGGAGGAAGAAATGAGAGATTTCAGCACGGTCTTTGGCTTGGATGAAGATTCCCTCCATCGACTTGCAAGACAAGTTGGCAAAACTGTACCTGTGTTGGGTTCAGCTATCAAGAAGACCAGAATAGCAAGCAAAATTGACAGTGAATTTGTAAAGACTCTATTGAGTAGGATGTGCACGTATGAAGGAAGAAATCGATGGGAAACCTTTCTTCTTCATTACCTACCCGGGTTGTGCTCTCTGTTTGGTAGAGTTAATTCTTTTGCAGCTATCTCCCACATGCTACAGAGATTTTTGGATGATGCTGAGGAAGATGCTGAGAACGTTTTGGCAAAAGCTGTTGGGTATTAAGAGCCCAACAGTGGAAAAATTCCCTTCTGGAGAATGCAAGCACACAACCTATGAATTGCACAGACAAGACAAACAACCAGGCCTAGCATTCATACTTCCTTGTTGTTTCTTGTTGGAAGCACATTCTGCCTGGAGAGAAAAAAATTCTGACAAACGCTGAAGATGATGATGTTGAAGATCCAAACTACCCATCCCAACAGAGAAACTGAAGCACCAATCATGCGAGGGATCTAGAAGCTGAGAAAGAACTTCTGAGTGGGAGTCCCTCGCCTACACACTTTCCCCTACATTTTGGAGTAGACTGTATAATTGAGTACCACAGGGGCAAATAAGGAAAATGTTAAATTTTCTTCACGGAAGCTCTTTCATTTGTGCCCAATTCAAAGTAGTGCCCAGAAGCTATCAAGAAGACCAGAATAGCAAGCGAAATTGACAGTGAATTGGTAAAGACTCTATTGAGTAGGATGTGCAAGTATGAAGGAAGAAATGTATGGGAAAGAATGCTTCTTGATTCTACACCCATGTTGCGTTCTCTGTTTGGTAAAGTTAATTCTTTTGCAACTATCTCCCACATGCTGCAGAGATTTCTGGATGATGCTGAGGAAGATGCTATGAACATTTTGGCAAAAGCTGTTGAGAATTAAGAGCCCAACAGTGGTAAAATTCCCCTCTGGAGAATTGCATGAACAAGACAAAGAAACAGAACTCAAGAACCAGGCCTAGCATTCATACTTCCTTGTTGTTTCTGTTGGAAGCACATTCTGCCTGGAGAAAAAAAAAAATCTGACAAACACTGAAGATGATGATGTTGAAATTCCAAGCTACCCATCCCAACAGAGAAACTGAAGCACCAATCTACAGATCATGCAAGGGACCGAGAAAGCCAAGAAAGAAAGGAAACTGTCCATCACCTACACACTTTCTCCTAAAATTTGGAGTAGACTGTATGATTGACTAGCACAGGTACAAAAAAATGGGACAGTTTTACATTTTCTTCACGGAAGCGCTTTCAGTTGTGCTCGATTCAATGTCCCCAGTGCCCAGAAGCCCCACGGGAATTGTGGACATCCTGTGCTGATGTCCCCTATTTCCTGTTCCAAATCAAAGACATTCTAGTGCAGGGGTGGCCAAACTTGCCTAACGTAAGAGCCACGTAGAAAAAAGTTAGATGTCTGAGAGCCACAGGACATGAACACACAGGTTTTTATTGGAAGATATACAAATTTGCATATTAAATTTAAGAGACAAATGCCTTCACCAAGCCAAGCCAGTCTGCTGGTGTGGCAGGGCTTCGAGAACACACTTAACTTTAGATGGGGAGGGAGGGGAGAAAGAAAGAAAGAAAGAAAGAAAGAAAGAAAGAAAGAAAGAAAGAAAGAAAGAAAGAAAGAAAGAAAGAAAGAAAGAAAGAAAATAGATGG